AAGGGAAGCAGTTGCAGTACAATGCACTCTCCAAAATATTATAGTTTTACTGTACACGAGGTCTCTATTGTAGTGTGACATTCACAGCTTTTAAAACTGGAATTTTGTGTGTTATGGTATAATATTCATAACTCCCCTTGGTATGAAGATTTCAAGTCATGGAGATGCTGGAAAGAATCCTGGAAACTTGAGTTGCAGGTATTCCTGGCTGAGCCATCTAACTCTGTTGCAGGTGGGAATAGAACTTAATAGCAAGTATAGCTCTTTGAACCACCACCATACCAGTTGCTTCCTGTGTACTTGTAGTCCAGAGTCTCGATCCTTGAAGGTCTTATTTCTCATCTTCTCAGCTGCATTCTGACCATGTCCCTAAGTAAAATTAGTGCTGTGCCTGACAAGGTTGGATTATTACGAGACGCTTTTTTTTTTCACCATGATCCTCAATCACAGCTTTAGTGAAGTTTATTGATCACATTGTACAATCCTATTTTTCAAGACATTTTGTTCTAAACTGTCTCTTTCAGTGTTTAACTGAACAATGCAAGTACTGCTTTCTACTGTATTTAATTTTAAATGGAACTGTTTTTCTAAGAAAAAATAATTTATTTTAGTAAATGTATGAATAACACTGCTATCAGTATTACACAAGTCTGTGTTATCAAACAACAATGTATTAAATGAGACAGCAAATTATAATGTTACCTTGTCTGTCTTGTCCCTAGAAGATGATGAACTTTCAATTCCAAAAGTCTAAAGTGGAAAGTTTGAGATGCCATATTCCAAGCTGTAGTGACAGTGCTGCTCAGCATCTGAGGCTTGGAATCTGAAGAACCAACAGAAAAGCCATATAGAAAAGGCTTTTTCCACCTTTATCCATTGAAAAAGTACAGGCTTGTATGCTACAGTCTTTCATGTGTTAATATAAATGTATTTTGGCTAAATACATGTGCACTTAAATATACAATATTCTTGTTACTTTGAGCAATTATAAGTACTCCTACAAAATATTCTTAAATAAGGAACCCATTAAAATAATCTTGGCATCCAACAGGTTTCTTGGCAAACTGTTGTTTGAGGCAGAATTCTGTTCCTAGGGTTTCTAGAGCCAGCAGGCCCCTTGCTGGCTGGCTTTTTAATAACTCAATTGTACTTTTTAGCCCAGACTGATGCATTAATAAAATGTTTCCAATTCTTTTTAGAAATACTTCTGCTTTTTAAGGTAGTGTTACTTTTTATGGTGCTGATAGTTGGTCAGGGCCTGATGTCAGCCCCATTCTTGAGTTAGTGTAGGTGTTCACATCCTTATAATTTTTTTCCACCAAAATGGTGAGTGTATGTGAGAGATGAGGCTAGGCTATTTTCCTTTTCCAGAATAATATTGGTAAAGCTTTCAGGAAAGCAGCAGTATCACTTCAAATGATGAACTTGTGCAAAATGGAGCACAAGGAACTTCTTTGAAACAACCCCTCCCCACACACACACACACCCCCTTCTGGACTCTTTCTCTTTGCTGATGAACAAACATGGACAATAGCAGCAGTTTAGAAAAACTGCAAGAGAATGATTTGTTAGGGCTCCCTGTCCTTTGATTGCTCTCCTGAGAAGCAACGCACTCTTCTACTGCTGATGCATCTAGTCAACTACTATATATATGCAAAAGATATATATGAGAGAGAGTTTATAGAAAGAAAACAGTCCTAACCCAATTGATCTGGGCTTAGTTTATGAAGTACACAATGGCTGTCACCAGTCTGCTTACATGAGGCTTGTACACATATCACATCCAGAGTTTGAAATTCATACCAAGTGGACTATGAATTATCCAAAGCAAAAAATAATCTTAGTAATCTTGTAATGTTGTAGCCATAATTGTCCAGGAATTTTGCAACTATTTCTTAGGGTGCTAGCTTTTACTGGACCACCTACATAGTTGGGATGAAGTTAGACAAGCTTTAAAATGCAAGACATTCTTCATCAGGTCTGAGCAGTTTTGTGATTGAGATCATCAGTGTTAAAGGAAAAAAGTATATTTTCAAACCTGTCTAACATGTATGTTCAAAGGAGTTTCCTTATCTGTGATGAGGATGCCATGATTTTTGTTCTCTTCCTCTCACCTCTATCTTGTATACTTACATATTGCAGTACTGGTGCTATCTGAATGTCATAGATGGGGGGCTGAATTACAGAGACACTGGGGGTGGAAACATCAGACACTGCCTGATGGTTCATTTGTGTTGCCCTAACAGTTTTTATGGCATCATGAATACTGAGCAAATAGTCATTGATTACCCTTTGTTATGCCATATGAAAGGAAAATCAGTGGCTCAACACAAGGTGGTTTTAGTCTCTGGCTTGTTATTGCAGCAGACATCTGTTACCTCTGTGGTGCTTTCCCCCTTCAGCCAGACCTAAGCCCCAGGTGTGGCTGGGTGGGGGCAAACCTTGCTTTCAGCCAAACCTTGCAGGGGATTTTCCCCCAGGTGTCTGCAAGGGGAGGGGAGGAGTGCAAGCATGGAGGGGGAATGCAAGTTTTCTCTCCCTTGTGTGCAGGGCAAGGAATCCCTTGGAGAAGGATTTGCCCATGCACAACTGTAAATGCAAGGAGGGGCTGTTCAAGACCCCTGCTTGAGTCCCCCCTGCCACTCTGTGCTTGTAGGTACAAATGGAATAACCACCTCAGGGAATTCTCCTGCTCCCCAACTTGGGGGAGGGGTGATTGTCCCCTACTTGTAGATTTGGCCTGGGACAGCAACGGGGGGCATCTATAGATGCCTCTGGAGTGCAGTCAGGCACAGCTGATTTTGCTTTGCTGAGGATATCTGTTTCTAGCCTAAATTGTCCATGATCACATGGGGAGGCTGTAGCAGAGGTGAAAATGAAACTGAGTCCACCATGTCTCTCTGCCTCCGTAATGATTGGTCTGTTGTGCCACTCTGGATGCATGTCCCAACATGAGCTTGGCTTTCTCAGAAGTAGTGGTGCTTCCCTCTCACCCAGAGTAGAGTTTCTTCCTGTCATCTGATTATTTCTCCTGCATACTTCTGTCTTAATGTTCTCCTTGGTTTTCTTCCCTTTTAACACTCGCATTTCAGTTCTCCCCTTATTTCCTGCTCTCCTTTCTCCACTTTGTACCGTCTCTTCCAAGAGATCCCTTCCCCTCCTCTTCAGCTGCGCATGAAGTGCTGCACCTGCAAGAACTGAATGCCTCTTGATTTACCAGCAGTGGCCTTAGAATGCATCTCTGCAGCACCCCTGTTGTGTGGGAGTTGACAGGAGCTCCCCTTCTCTAGGTGAAGGGAGAACATCCATTTTCTACAATGCTGAAGTTGTAAAAGATAATTTCTTCAAGCTGGGAGAGTGAGGAGATAGCTGCTAAGTCCCCAAACCCTATCCTGTTTGTGCTGTAGAAATGATTTCCTAGTACAAATGTGCTCTGAATATTATTGAAGTGGCACATGCTGTGTGAGTGAGATTTGTTGGACTGAACCAGATATTTATTCAATTATCAAAAGAGCTGTAATACTTGCATATGACTTTGATAATGCTGGCTATTGGTCCTCAGGATAAATATTTCTGTAAAACAGTTGTCATAAATGCATTTCCCATCTGTTCTGCATGGAGCAATTCATATTCGTACCTGATGTATTTCAAATATACTTGCTTAATTAGTTATAAATATGTAAATCCCTTTAGTGATACTTCCTTTGGCATTGTTAGTTAAGGATGTCTTATTTTTTTAAGGCAAAACAGGCCTGTGGAATCCCTAGAAGTTCTGTCTGTAGTCTCCAAAACTATTTCAGGTCTACACCATGCAATCAGATGATTACATTTATGGTGCTTCAGTCTTTTCAAAAAGTAATTTGTAGACTAGACTACTATCACTTTTTCTATCTCCTGCCCTGTACATAGCCACGAATGTTGTAATGCATAACTTTTGGCAAGTGAAAGCATGTATACTTAACCTAATATTCCCTAATCCTCAGCTAAGAAAGGGTATGTTGCCAGTTTTTGAGCATTGTATTATATTATTAAGTTCTGTCTTCAGAAGGTGATCACAGGTTTTTTGAAATGTAAGTTGCATGTCTGGATCACACAGAGGTTGCAGCTTGGGGAAAGAATTTCAAAGGTGCAGATTTTTCAAATGATATATTTGTCCATATACAAATAATATCTTTATAGATAATTATTTAAATGCACAACTCATTGCCCAGAGCATCATAGGAGTGTTTGCTCAAAATTATTAATAATGAAAGAGAACCACTTTTTTCCATATATTCCAAGGGTATCAAAGATGCAATCCATGGGTCAGATCTAGACCACAGAGTTGTCATCCAGGCTGCTGGGCTCCCCATGGGGTTGGATATGTGGTATGTGGACAAGTGGTGGCAGTGTTAATTGCCGCAGCTCCCACAGCCATAGCAATTATGTATAATTTAGCCAAATTGGAGAAAGTACAGCAGAGAGCATCAAAAATGGTTAGGGGGCCTGGGGCATGTGACCTCTGAGGAGAGGATGAGGGAACTGGGCTTATTTAGTCTGGACAGGAGAAAACAGAAGGAATTTAATAGCAATCTTTAGTTACCTGAAGGGTGGTTCCAAAGAGGATGGATCTAGACCAGTGGTTCCCAACCTCTTTTTGCTATGACCTGCTGCTGGGAGCAGAGTGTGATGGCGGCCTGGGGGCAGGGGTGGGGGAGCTCCCGGCACGTGGTGCAGCTCGTCCTTTGTGTGTGGCGCTGCCAGCATTGCCCCCACGACCCTCATTTGGGTCACGACCCGAGGTTGGGATCCGCTGATCTAGACTGTTCTCAGTGGTGGCAGATAATGGAGCAAGGAGCAATGGTCTCAAGTTGCAGCAAGGAAAGTTTAGGTTAGATATTTGGAAGAATTTTCTCACTTGGAGGATCATAAAGCACTGGAGCAGGTTATCCAGAGAGGTGGTGGAATCGTCATCCTTGGACCCAGCTCGACAAAGCCTTGGCTGGGATGATCTAGTTGGGGATGGTCCTTCTTTGACCAGGAGGCTGAACTAGATGATCTGAAGGCCCTTCCAACCCTCATTTTCTATAATTCAGTTAACACCATCACCACTCTTCCAGCCACAAAATATCTGGCCCTGTGGAGAGCCTCACAGGCCAGATTCAGAGCATGAAGCAGTGTCATCTGGAAATTTGGTGGCAAGAGGAGGGGGCAGAAATTAACACTGCCATTGCCAAATTACCAGCCTGCGGGCTGATTCCCTGCTTTGGGTTCAGCCCATGGGGCCAGGTGGGTTTGACATCCCTGTTCTCTGCTTGTGTCTGAATGCTCTTGTTCTGGTTCTGTTTTCCTAAAGTTGATACACTTGTTCAAACGTGAGATGTTCTAAACATTTTATTCGAATCTGAGTGGGGCTCTGTCTTATGGCTTATGTTTGTTCATTTTTCTAGAAAACGTGATGTCATGCAGAATATTATGCAAATATTGGAATCGGTCCAGTTAAAATGGGAGCTGTTTCAGAGCTGGACAGACTTCTCCAGGCTGCACCTTTCTAACAAACTGGCCATTTTTGGCATTGGTTATAACACACGCTGGAAGGAGGATATTCGTTACCACTATGCCGAGATCAGTTCTCAGGTGCCTCTCGGCAAACGGCTTCGAGAATATTTCAATTCAGAGAAGCCAGAGGGCAGGGTCATTATGACCAGAGTACAGAAAATGAACTGGAAAAATGTTTACTATAAATTCCTAGAGATTACGATTAGTGAAGCAAGATGCCTGGAGCTGCACATGGAGATTGACTGGATACCTATAGCTCACTCCAAGCCAACTGGAGGAAACGTTGTTCAGTATTTATTACCAGGGGGGATTCCCAAAAGCCCTGGTTTGTATGCTATTGGTTATGAAGAGTGCCATGATAAACCCCAATCACCTGTTGCAGACCGCAGAGGCCAAGATCCTGGCAAAGAGACTCAAGGGGAGACAGATGTCCCTTCACCACAGGCCTCTCTCAGGGTGGATATGGAGTCCACCAGAATTATCTATTGTTACCTTGGCATTGCTGAGGTAAGAACTCTCCAGCAGTGCTTGTTTTTACATTTTCAGGCAAACACCAAAACCTTCAGTAAAGAGTGGGTTGGGATCAATGGATTTTTATCTCAGAACTGCATCGTAGACCCTGGTGTGTCGCCTAAATCCATCTACATAAAATTTGTGGAAGTGGAGAGGGATTTTCTTTCTGCTGGCTCTTTGGTAGAGTGCCTGGAAAAAGCCATTGGATACCCATTAAGGTTTAACAACTGAATCTCATCCTTCATAAGGATTAGGGCTCCTGTTTCCTTTCACTGTTGCTCGCAAACAAGTGGATCCTATCTGTTCACAGTTGGGCAAGTCAGACTTTCAAAGTGAAATGAACTTCAAAGTGAAAGATGCTTGCATGTGATCACAAAAACTTGTCCTGAGCAAGTAAACTGTACAGCTTGGCAGGCCAATTAGTTTTATAACGAGAAGAGTAAGGAGGAAAGCCCTGTAAACAAAATGACTGTAGGTACATTCCACATTGGACAGAGCTTTTACTTTGCGTTTCATATGAAAATCTGTTTTTCCACAATGTTTCATTTTTACACATCTTGTCTCTATATAAGTGTTATTACAGATCTGAATAAATAAGCAATAGATAATGGCAAGTTAAACTGAGTCTCATTAAATGAGACTTTCAATGCCACCCTTAGCTACTATTGTATATAATTTAGAGTTTCACTTTTTTCACCCATCAGAAGTGTTTTACTATTTCCAAACAGTGTTGCCTGCAAAGACTTTTGTTTCTGTGATGTATCCCACTTTTTTACTAGTAGTGTTGCCATATCAGCTTTTTTTAACATTAAAATAACTCCTGGCCTTTTTAAGTTCTAGCTAGCCTCTTTGTGGCAGTGAGAATAACCTGACAGTTGGGAAACATTTTGTCAAACCATGCTTATCAATACAATCAAAGCTGTGAGAATTTGGGAGGGGGGTGGGAAGGGGGGAGTAAGGGTGGGGGAGGGGGGGCTATTGTGGATGGGGAGTAAACATTTAATGCCTTTTCAGAACTGTTACTATATAAGCCCCATTATCTTGCTGGCTGGTGCTGGCATTTTGATTTTTTTCTAAAACTCATTGATCAGTGGAAGTTGTGACATATAATGAATGTGTCAGTCCTAATAAAAAAAAAAAAAGCATACACAGATGGAGTTCTAGAAATGTGTTTCTCTTACTAAACCTGATTTTCCTGGATACAGAAACTACCCTCTTCTTGGGTAGGTTTGCAGTAGAGATGTGGATGTTTAGTTCAACTTGGGTAATAAATTACACCCATGAAAACTTTGTATCCAAGCTTCATTCCTTCTGCTGGAGGTTTTCTTCCATTATTGATGACTTACATTTTTGTTGGTGGGAAGGAAAAGGATGTAAATTTATGAAAATATTTTTATTGCCTTTTACAAAAATGGATACATGCAAATCTCGGACATTTAAGCAGTGCTTGAGAAGCATTGAATTTCTAAATTCAATCTGCATCATAATACCACAATTAGGCAGTCATTAACAGAATGACCATTCATTTATTTTCAACTAAATGTGTAGGAGGGAATTTACCATAATTCTTAAGAGGGCAGTTATTGTGAAGACAGCAACAGCACAGAGTCGATGGTAAGTGCAGGTGAGAATTTTCATGCACGTTACATACAGTATAGTGAGGCCATAATAAATATGTTAACTTAAGTGTGTCAGTTTAAGTCCACTGCTTATTAAGCATAGCTTCACTAGGGTTGGAGATGTAGATTAATGTGAAGGAACTGATGGTTGTCAGAGGAGCTAAATGAAGCAAGAAAACAGTGTAATGAGAGGCTAGATTGACCCTACCTGCACTAGAGTTGGTGGCCCCAGCTCTGGTTGTGCCATGTGAAGCACCATACAAAGCTTTGTGCAGGCAGTATTTCACAAGTGTCCCTGTGCTTGGGTATAACTGGTTTAACTTTTGATGCAACTCTGCCCACATTGTCTCCATTCAGATTTGTTCTAGCAGGTGGAAGGAAATACTAGTGGCCTTGGTTCTACCCACGTCCTACCCCTACAGTGCCTGTATCCCACTTGCATCGTTCCAGCAAGCAATAGAAGCAGTGCTTATGGTTTGCTTTGGAAAGCAGCCTTTTCTCCGCAGTGATATTCTTTGTGGACAATAAGCAGAACACCCTTCAGGATGGCTTGATTTTTAAAGTTGTAAGATGTTTGTTGTGATATTGTTACAAGATACTTCGATCTGTACCAGCAGCTTTTTAAATAGCACTTTTGATTGTTACTGAGTGATTTCTCATGCTTTGTGTACTTTTTAGGAATGTATACATCATACATAAAAGGAGTTGGAAAATAAGTCAACATACATATGAGCCAGCATTTCTTAGGACTTGAGCCCTTTCTACCAACAGAAGAAAAAAGTGAATGTGTATCTTGCTGCAGCCAAGAGTTGGTGTTGCAGTGGCACAGGATAACCTGCAGGGTGCCTGTACTTGAAAGATGTAAGATAGAGTAAACTTATATTCTGAAACACCTTCTAAGCAAAGTCATCCCCCAGTAAATCTGAACCTTAAACTAATTTCATCAAGGCTTTCCAGGCATTAACTTGTGTCCCAAATTCCCAAAAGGACTGGTGCATCTGGCTTTGGGAGCACAGCTGAGGATGCTGACTGGGGCAGAGTGGTGTTCATCTTAATATGCTTAATGCAATCTATTAGGGAAGAAACAGAAGATAACAGGAAACAGTGCAGTTTGAAAATTGATAAAGCCCTAGGTGAAAGTTGTATTTGCACGCCTTTGTTTCCCTGCATGGTGGTACTCTTTGTAACAAATTCCTGCATATTAGGACCAGAGTTATTCACAGAGAGAAGCAATACAAAATATTGAAGCCTCTGCCTTCATACTGCCTGGACCATAAGGGCCTAGTACTATAGGATGTATGAGCAGGTCCTTGGGCCAAAATAAACTGCAAATCATCATTTCACTAAGCTGTGAGTTCCTAAACGTTTTAATGGTGTGACCCACTTCTGAATTACAGTTAGGCAGACCAGTTTCCACTCCCACTGGCAACAGAATAATATCTGAGAATCTACTGCTTGCTTAAGAAGGGCATTTAAGTGGTTTGTCATCCCTGCTTGTCAAAATGTTGTGCCTGAGTTCACATGTGTATTTGTCTACTTCAGGTTCATTGGTTCTTTTTGTCTTTCTCTACCTGATAAAGCCCTTTAGGACCCTTCATTTTGTTTTTGAGGTATACTTGCACAATGTGATCAAGTCATCTCTGGTTTTGTGTATTTTGTTAATCACACCATGTCGAATACCTCAAGTCTCTTCCCTTAAGAAATTTCATCAAGCCCTTGAACAATTTCTGTGATTTATGTCCTCTCCAATTTGTCAACAACCTTTTTTAAAATGTTGATATCTGGTGTGCATGCTGTGTGCCAGTATCTGTTTCGCTGATGTTGCATATAGAGCTTAAATTGCCTCACTGCCCCTATTCACTACTCCCCTGTGCAGACATGCATATTTATGCATTGTAGTTCCACTTTTTGCCCCAGGACTGCACATACAGCTTACGTTGAAAAGTTTATCCTCTGTGATCTCTAAACCTTTTTCAGAATCTGTGCTTTCCAGGATGTGAGCCCGTATTCTGCAGATTGGGTTTCCATTCCTTCTATCTGGGTACATAATTTTTTGCATTTGGCTGGATTAAAACACGCACTCCTTTTCTTTTTTTTAATAGACTCGGCCTATTCAGTTGCTTTGTGTGACTGGCTCATTATTTACCACTCTGCCAAAGTATGCCAGTGGTCAGATAAGTAATGTGTGGAGGTATGGTCAGTGAATTAATACTTCATCAGCTGGTAAGTACAGGCACATTGCCCATGGTAGCATAGTATTAGAAACCCATTAGCAGCAATTTCAGTGTTTTAACTTGGAAAAATGTAATTTTTCAATGTAGATCACCTTATGAGAGGTAAAAATGGGACTTACTCCAAAGGTTTTTGGTGTAGGAGGAGAGTATTGACTGGGGTTGTGGTACTAGCATATTTTACCCAAATCCAAGACTGCTTTGGATTTAATATCCACCCTGCACCCCCTCCCCTCCCCCAACCATTAGATTTGTTGCATGGAAAATTATGAATTTGTTATCTTCTGTACAAGGAAAATTATAAGTAGAAGGTCACTTCAAATTTGTCTTCCCCCTGTCCTGCACACTCCCCCTCTCCCCCTTCCTGCTGTGATGGGGAAAGCAGAGGCAGGGGTGTGAGGAGCCAGACGCTTGCCCTCTGCCTGTCCCACATCTTCTCCCCTCCCTGCCCCTTTATCATCTGGAGGAGCAGAGCTGCAAGAGAGCATCCCCAGCTGGGGAGAAACAGTGGCAGCTCCTGGTGGGGCTGGATCAAAGTTGGAGGAACCAGAGCTGGAGCAGAAGGTAAGGAGAGAGGGAAGCAGGGTGGGATGGGAAGGGGCAGCTGCAGGCTTTGGTCTCCC